AGCCACGCAAATACGCATCAGAGAGTGAATGCTACCGTTCGTACCGGATTAGTTAAGCCGGGTCAGCTTGATGTGATTAAAAATATAGCACTTAATCTGGTCGGTTGATAGTCTACCAGAAAATACCTCCAAAGAGAACCAGCGAAAAATTTAGCAAACCGGTTTACGTGGTGTAAAATAACCACGCCTTATTGAGTACTTTAATAAGCAAAATAAAAGTCCTTTATAGAACCTTCCTAATGCATATGTCAGGGTCTGAGATTTTATTACAAACAGCACGCGCTGTGCTCAGCCGTTTGTTCAATAGCGTAAGTAGGATAGATCTAGTCTGAAATAAATGATTGGCACACCTGCAAATTTAGGCGAAACCGGGATAACCAGCGGGTTAACTTTTATTATGGTTAGTGAGAGCGATAGTCTGAAAAAATAATGGGCACACCTGCAAATTTAGGCGAAACCGGGATAACCAGAGTGTTAACTTTTATTATGGTTAGTGAGAGCGATTCGATCGAATAATCGTAGGCATCACCTGATGGTGCTAGCATATGTTAATTTTTCTAGCGCGACACTAGTACAGCAGTAGGAGCATGTCCACCGCCGCCAAGGTGTTATGTAACATGTCTTTGAAGCCGTGTTAACCATGTGGTTAAGGATACGAGAATACAAGCATTATTCTGGTCGCAAAATAAACACATCATAAAAAATTTCAGGTTTCCAGTTTGAGTTGGCAGGTGAATCGGAACTTTGGTGACTGAAAAGTTAGGACCGAATGAGGGATGCGCCTTGATTTGTTCTAAGCTTTTACGCCGTACAGATTGCTCGTTCAGTCTGAAGTCTGTTCAAGTTGATTTGAACGGAAGGTCCAACTGAATTCCAGCCAAACTTTCTGGTTATTGTAATATTCAGCTTTGCTTGATGCACAGAAGCGCTTCGCAAGAAACACCAACTGGGAGTGAAGGGGTTAACAAAACTTAGGTGTTCGATTGATTGTATTCAGTGAACTTCGTACAACCTAGTTTCGAGCATAACATGAGTCCGACGGAAACTTATGGATTGTGCCTATCTGATGAGACTCATGAAGGGCCAAACTGAAGCATCGATATATTTACGTATGGACAAACTGCAGGCCGTCATTTTGTGCGGTCTATCCTCATCAAAACGGAAGTCCGTTGGGGTACCGGGGATGGCAGAGAGGAACACGACGGAATACTTGGAACTAGAAGTACACTAATAAATGGCCAAATTTATGGACGGCTTGTGGCCACATTGCTTTATTATCTTATAGATGCTGGGGTAGTTAGCGCGTCATTTTTGTCGTCCGATGTCGTGAGGAAGTTTTGTTCACGGTGTTATTCGATTTGTTTTCCATCGTCGCACTTATTTCTTTTTTAGGAATTCCTTTCTTCTATTTTAAATTAGGTTCTCCAGGTTACGTGTCGTGGCCATATGATAAGCAATAAAATGGCTTTCAGTAAAAAAACAATTTAAAAAATCCGTAACGCTGTCTCGCATCTCACTCGCTATTCATTAGTCCAGAAAATCTTTCAGCTTACATTACAATAGGAACGTGAATTACCTCATTTTGGAAGATGGAACAACCCTATTTGTAAAGTATGTTCTAGATAAATTATAGGTCTCTGGCGCGGCTCAATTCACTTGAAATGCTGTGCTGTGATATCGAATCCACTCAAGATTTTATTTTGTCACTTTGAGGACGAACAGTAATTCGCCCAGTTTTTGGCGCTTGCACTGTAAACGCCAGTGTTCTGGTAAGTACTGCACCATTCCAAATTGTAGTGGATTTTACAAACAAACGTCTGACGCCGTTTTGCAAAGTGTAGTTTTAATCGTACTACTCAAGCTTAAACCTAGATCGTCGTGAAATATTGCTTTCAGTGTTTCCGTTTTTGCTGCTTTCAATTTTACCAACAATAAGTGAAATTGTGGTCGCACAGCGTATCTGTTAGGTACAAAATAAAAAAGTGGTACGACAAGGCCAACCTATCTTATGAAACCCATTCCTGTCTCAGAACTCGGCGAATTGTGGTCGGTTGACGTCATGGGCCCCTTTCAGGTCCTAACCGATCAGGGGCATTGCTTTAGGAGCAAAGCGTTTAGGAATTGCTTGCAGAAGCTGGATATTGGACGGCTAAGGATGGCACTGTACCACCCGCAAACGAACTGCCCAACCGAACGATTGAGGAGTAACTGGCGGCCAAAGGAGGTGACTGGGAAGTGAACCTGTCATTGGTGTTGCTAGCTCATCGTGCTTATATACAGCCAACCACAAGCGAATCATCGTTTAAACTGGTGTACGGTCGACATCCGCGTCTTCCGGTTGATCAGAAAATTGGGTTGTGGTCGGCAAAATTCTTGTCTCCGGAGGAGCTAGATGAAGAAAGGCGGAAAGCTCGAGAAAACTTGACCACCGTTCAGGAAAGGACCAGAGGGAAAACGGCAAGTAGAATGGGGATACTGTTACCTATAAATGCGAAAGATAAGTAGAAGGATCGTCAAAATCCTGGAAGGAGTTGACTGGGGTCGCGGGAGCTGGGTATTCAGTAACAAGTTCCTTTTGCCGTGACCGACCGCCGGGAGAATGTCGATGCAACTCAAGACGGTTGATCTTGGGGATGATAATCATAAGGCGAACTCTGAGGCAACGGAGGTTGATCGATGCCAAAGAATGCATGATTTTCTGGCTCTGCTCCATAATGTTAATCGTAGTTTTTTCTCTGCGTTGCAGCGGTATCATTAAATACCGTCGCGAACAAAGTCACAGTGAAGAGGTTATTCGGAGCACTGCTCACCTGCTTATTGGTTGAAAAGACTGCAAACGACCTCAAGGGGCAGGAGTAAAAAATCCGCATTCAAAATGTTCTCTCTTATGTATGAAATAGGCGCAAAATCATTCGCCAAATAGCCAATTTGCATTATAAACATTACCGTAAAATTCATGTGTTTCGGTTTTCTGCATTCCGTATGCTTCACCAACTGGCACTCATCTAGTGTCAGGGGGTAACCAACCGAAAAAAATCTTGGATGCGAATAAATATTTCCGGCATATCACGAAACCCGTAGTTGTAATAACTACAATAAGAAAATGTCATTTCCACGGTTCTGGTCGCAAAATGTTTCTGAACAGAGATTTATGCATTATGTAAACAACAGACTTTTTGATAAAAATGGACTTGGGCAGTTTCCAATGAAGTTATGGTTTTGTTTGTGGAACCGTTGAGAGCTTTTCTAAAAACTCATCGTAACCAAATGCTCGTGCAACAAGCATAGACCCGTGTATTTGTTATTTTTGAATACATGTTGTACAGTGCAGACTTAGTTGCTAATAGCAACGGTAATGGCATTTTCATAGTTCCAATAAAACTGATCACGGTTACCTTCCCTGCTGCTCTGTTAAACAAAATATATATGCTAAACCTGCTAGTATTATGCTCCTTAGAATGTTACTAAAAATGACGTCCTTAGCAAATACAGTATGTCTTCTATCCCGTCTTCCAATTAATTATAAATGATGGCAATTTTTAGCGTAATTTCTCTATATCAAAGTCATGTTGAAAACATTTTCAAATTTCCCCATAATAGGAGTCCACCCGAAATTATGTCGTATCTTACGGGGCCTCCTTCACACATAAACGGCATACAATAACGCGTTTCCTCCTGCTTGTTTTCAGTGATTTCTTTATTTCGATAACCCTTTGAAATCCTCGCAGTTTAAAAACGTGTTGGTCATTTTTCAGCAGCATTCGACTATGGACTTTTAGGTGTTAATCACAAAAAGGATTCGAAACACTGCTCTGAGTGTAGACGTAAAACATCTTCTGGACTCCATATGTCGGCTTGTTTGGTTGACGCATTTTGCCTGCGCGCGGATCACCTGTTCAACAGCACACGTGCATCCGGGGTACGACTTGAAGCGAAACTGCACTGAACTCTTAGCTTCGTAGTGCATTTGATGGGTGAACTCAACTGCGTGGAGTGAAGTAGCTGCATCGTGTGCACTTTTAAAAAAACAGTCGGAAAAAATGGATGACAGCAATCGCTAAGAATCTTCTGAATGGCTCCCTAAGCAAACAGGCTAACTGAACGCTTTTACTCTCTGTTTCACCGTTTTGAGTAGCACTCTTTCACATGCTATGTTAGGGCGTTAACTTCTCCGCTGAGTTGTTCCAGTGCACCCGTCCAAATGGGCCAATCCGAGCACTGTTTTTGATATGATTTACCAAAGAACACAGAATTGTCTGTTTGATCTGCTGTAGATTTAAAGACTAACATGACAATACCTGTCTGCATGTGCGCGCTTTCTGTAAATCTCCACCGCGAATTCGTGACGGGTATTAACGGACAGACTATAGGCCAGTTGTTGTATGTTGTATGCTCGCTCTCTTTCATACTTCTCCACTCTTCTTTTGGATGGCATAAGACCTCTTGTTGTGTAGCTGGCATGGTTGTAAAACATACCGTGAAAGTATCGCAGCCAGGTGCAAGATTAATTTAGATCTTAGTTATATCATCTCATAAAACGGTGGGAGAAAGTTATAAACAAGCGTTAAATTACATATCAGTCTAAACAGATGTTAGCTCGAACGTAACCGTCCTTTCACCCTCAGAAATATAGGCATCAACGAACTGCCTAAACATTTAGATAATTGGCAATTAGTATTAGTGAAATAACTCATGAAGGAACGTATGAGGGCACTTGTTTGATGTATTTCATTGACCTATAGAATTTTCCGGGTATGGCGGACTTCTGCTAAGGTGAACACAACCACGCTCTACTGAATTTGGAGTTTTGGTTGTAGTAGGTGCTTACTACCCGAAGGTTCGGTCTTGCAAACAGTTGGTCTTTCTTAGCTCCGTTGTAGTTCCCCGTAAATATCCAGTGTTTTATATTCAGGTGTTTTATGATGGTCCTTCCGTGTCGTGACAACCGATGCAATTACCTTGTTTTCTTTGGTAGGATGGGTTGACTCTTCTTTTTTCAGAAGCCTCAGTGCACCCAACTCTTCCCGCGACATGTTGTTTGGTATTGGGCTTTGGTTTATGGGAGTATTGCATGTACGCAATCTGGTGTCTTCCAGACTTTTTTGTTCACGCTCTCCGCATGTGCAGAAAATATTAGCGTGATTTTTCTACTAACAGTCACCGGTTTGTGAATGACGTCCCAATTCAGGCCTATTCTAACAGCCACATCAGACTATAAGTCTCTGTCACACACGTTGCATACAAGCCTGTTTGAATCAATTATTTCAGCTCAAATTACTCAGTTGTATCCTCTCTTTAAGGCTTTCTCGTAGTTATAAACTGCCTTTTCGTGGGAGCCTGTGCATGTTTTTGTGATTTCATTTTCTAGCGCGCTTAAGTTGAGTTACTGAGCAACAAATTTGGTGACAAATGCTAACTGAAATAACTAACAGAAATTCCCATCCAGACACAGTGATTGTATACTTTTGAAGCCCGTGTAAAAAAGTGTCCGAGGCGCCGTTTTACACGCGTTGTTTTAATCAAGATGGTGGTTTACCTATTTGTGTTGTAAATTTGATCTTCTGAAGAAGGTGATTGGTTGAAGAAACTATCATTAACGCAGTTTTTACACTTAATTGACCTTGTTATCCCGCGAGACACGTGGTCGGCTAGGACAGTGATGTACTACACTACGCTACATTTTGCTCGCATTCCGGTGGTTGTAAAACTTCGTTCTTCAAAATTTGACTTCAGTCAACAACTAGTGTTCAACTCCAAGCTTTCTATATTGAACATCAAATTGTGTTAAAATTATATAATCACATTTTAACCTAGTTTTTTCAGGCATTCCTAGTCTGCTTTTATTGGGATTGTGGTTCTAAGAAAACACATCAAAAGTCTTCTGGATTATCTCGATGTTTGCGGATACTACAAGATAGTAGTTAACCACTAGCATACACAGTGTGTACGAAACACCTTATTACCACTGACCAAATTCACAGCCAATGAATGTTGCCAAAAATAAATGGTGCGTCATATGTCGAATATCACAAACTCCGAATTCTCACTTATCACAAGCTGACACATGGTTATGTCACATGATTTCCACGTTTATGCTAATAATCGCTTCCAACTCTTAATATTATACACCCAAAATGGATATAAATTCTGATTTTCCAATATGTCTAAAATTCTAGCTACTCATCCAGCGATTTAAATTGCTATGTCTGAACGGAAAATTCAAAGATTATTGCTATTCTCAGTTTGGTTACCAATCCTGACGACGAAGTGAGTGATACATGCGACTTTGCAACAACCTTACAGATTGACATGGGCCCATTTGTTATCCGTTGACCTTTTTAGTGACGATGCAGTACGTTCGTTAGAAACGTGTATATTTTCATTCCTTTTCATAGGGCAATGCTTACGGCCCCATTCAAATTGGACATCAACAATTTAGGGTAATGTTTGACACCGGAGGATTTACGCGGTGGCTTCCATCGAGTCGGTCTGCGCCGCACTTGTTTTCAAGACGAATAAAATATGACAAAAACTCCCCGACACGGATTTCACTGGAGAGAGAATACAGAACAAGCTACAGCGGTGAAAGATACAGGGGAAACGTAGTAATGGATACTGTTTCAGTAAGCCCACCAAAGTTATTTACACTATTTTTAGATTGCTGGTAACCCCATTGAGCAGTTTGCCTTCGTTGAAATGATCTACTCTTCGATTTCTGTGGACACAAGCGAAGGGTTCGACGGAATAATTGGAATGAGGAAACCTCAAGGAGATCACAAACGAGGAGATATATTCAAAATTACTCTGACTGATCATCTCCTCGCCACGGGCAGCATAGCAGAGGGCATTTTCACTTTTAGGTTTTGCGGGTGAGTCTTGTACTTTCTTCTATGATTTTTTAATAGCGGTTCTCGCTTCTGTGTGGTCTTTTTTCAGCACTGCAAATTAATAGTAGCCAAAAATTCATTAGAAATTCATCACTAATATTACAAAGATATTACATGGTAAAAATTTTGTGATAACCAAGCCCAATGCTACATACGATCTACGACGTCATGGTCACCACGAAAATGACAACAAGTGGGCTGCACAACCCGATTTGAGATGTGCTAAATTTCGTTTAGCCTGAGTCCTTTTCTCTGTTTCAGTTAAGAAGAGCTTTTCCCATATTCCCCGTTTCGCTCCTACCAATTTCGCGCAGTGCGCTTTATTATCGTTGGGCTGGTTTTCTTGCCAATGCTCTGTATGACCGAAGTGTTGTGGATGTCGCGTGAATGGATGGATGCTACTGGATTACGAAGTGTTTTGATGGTATGCCTTACACAAAACGAAATGAAGTATAAAAAATCCCACGTAAAATTTTCAAACAAGCTGCTTTGGCAGACGCGGAATTTTAGGCTGTCCCCTTAACCGCCGTGCTCTAGTTTTAATAGTTCGGAACTCACCACAGTAGAGCGTAAAAAATGCATCTAAGCTCTGGTTTTCGGGGTTTGAGAAGTACCTGCAAAGCTTCTCAACAGCTGTTCTTCAATCACACATGGAGGCAAACATATATTGTGAACGTCAAGTGAATCAGATCGTAGACAGTGTACATATGGCACCAGGTGTACGGCCTCATCCCATCGATCCGTCATCTTAATTTTGAAGTTTTTGTGCTAACGTTCTACCACCAGGGCATTTGGTGTAAGCAACATCCGACTTAAGTGCACAACCTTAGGGCGTGTGAGCTTATGTTCGGTGGTTATTGGATCACATATGGCTGTTTGGGTTGTCTGTAGTGTTTCAAGTTTGAAGGCCAATATTTGATATCTATAAGTATAAACCACAAACACGTTTCCAATATGGCTCTCCTCAACTCACAGTGTATTCAACACGGTTGAAACGTGTTCAACTTCAACGTTATATACAAGCATCGTAATTGTGCAAATTAATTTTTCAGGGAACAACCGACCACGTATTCAGCGGCACCTTTTTAGATATGTCTCGGTACGAGGTACTAACTAGTGGGAGTTGCTTCGCATTGATTGGACATCTGAGTACAGATATTTTTGCAAACACTCGGTAGTACACTGGCTTCCGTGGCAACCGAAACCGTGGCGCACGAATGCCATCAATCTGCGCGTTTCACACCCCAGCGTGTCGACATCTTAAACTTAACCATATAATCCCATGCTTTCTTAGAGTTCGACTTACTGCACTACAAAATTGTTTGGCAGGTAGATTTTTAGGAAATTCATCACAGTTTAACCAAATAATCAAGGCCACAAAGCGGTTCAGTCACGATCATGTAAATTCAAAAATTATCACTAATAATTACCGCT